ATGTAGGAGGCGTTTGCCAGGAACTCGCAGTCTCCTTTATTACACTTGTACTCGTAAATGACGTTCACTTGCTGTAGATCTGTTGTCTTTTTAGCAGGGCTGTTTTTCACGATGTCTAACTGGTTGAAAACAGGGCCATAATACCAATTGTAAGTGTAGTTTTTCCCCCTATTTTTTTACTTCCCCTTTATCCTTTCCCTGTCTTTGCTTTTCTTTCTTTATTTTGCTTCTCATTTTTTGCCCTTTTGCATGACTCAAAATTCTTCCAAAATTTTCAAAAGATTAAAATTATTCCTGTACCCCTGAAATGGAACAAACCAAAATTGATGATGAATATTCATCATTAGTTATAAACATCTGGGCAATTTCATCAATTAACCAATATAATTGATTACCTATGAGCAGCAGTTACAATTAGTTTCATATAAACTAATTAATTAATCAAAATTATGATTAAATCAATTGTCACAAAAATAATCAACTAAATGAAATTAGTGTTTCAAATTATTACCATTTTTAGTTTTTCCAATAATTAGTTAATTTTAATTTAATTTTGATTAAATCAATTATTGTAAAAATAATCAACTAATCAAAATTAGGGATTCTAATTATTCCTAAATTGATTATTCCAACTATCCAAGTAACTGATATATTGCCATTACGTTTGTTTGTTGTTAATAGCTAAATAATGGGATATCTGTTCTCTGCCCACTGTCTAGCTATAAGCCAGCATGGCTTGGTGACTTGGGAGATGGAGGAGAAGGTTCATAATTTGAGGGTTTCAAGTTAATTTCTCATTGCTAGTAAATTTGCTTGCCCCGTTTTTCTTATGTCAAATATACTAAAGTTATCTACCACTATCATTAATTTTGAAATTCTGACAATAGGGAAGGTAACCAGCTAGCAGTACTCACAGAAACCTTTTTGGCTATTTAAGTGTTAAATAGTGTATATTTATTGTTTTTTTACAGTGTTATGCATCTAATTTATAATTAAGTAACTGTATTCTTGAATGTTGCATAAACAGACGTAGATCTAGGAGGAATGGACAGAGGGGTCTGCACCCATTTTTTTCCAAAAATTAATAACTGTATTCTTTAGTATTTTATAAAAATTGATGGAGGGAGGAGTCCAGACTCCCCACTCTCAACTTGTTTCAGAAATTAATAAACAAAAATAGCTAAGGACCTTACACTAACAAGCGTCAAAAAGAAAAATTAGATGTCAGTGTTTTATTTTATTGGGTTATCAATTACAATAAAAGCTTTTTCAACAAATCAACACAACAAAAAATACTGAAAATGTGTTTACAGTGTTAAACAACTAACTTTTAAAAAATGGGGTTGTAACATACAATCATTGTAAAAATCAAATACTAATACACCTAGGATGATGAAGTAAGGCACTGTTGTTACTTTTTTTGAAACAAAAATACTATTATCATCTAAACATACCTCCCAGTTTTATTCTTATTCATTCCCTAATTGTTTTAAAACCTTGCAAGATAACTATATAACTATCAAAAGTTAAATTTACTAAATAAGTTGATACTATTCTAATTTTAATGTTGTTTGACTTTACATTTAGGCTGCTTAAAGAATATCCAAGAAATACTAGGTTTTTCTTTGGCTAAGTACACATTTGCCTAATAAATAAAATGAGTTAAGAATACTCTTTCCTTTTGTTGGTTTCAAAGCATGTGAATAATGCTTAGTTACAGACACAACATTTAGTCTCCAACATTGTCACAAATATGCTTATGAATATGAAAAACAATACCGAATTGTCTGGAATAACAAGAGTGGAAAAGTGTACACAATACTTTGCATAACTTGTGTTTATAATATATTTTCATGTTGAGAATTTAGAATTTGAAAAGTAACTTAATTTTAAATTATTTTACCTGAAGTCTGGACTTCCTATGGTTTTTCATATTTTTTCACCCTTTATAAATTTTTGAGACAACTTCTAAAGTCAACTTTATATGTTAATTCTTACTATATTTCAACCATTTTAACTCAAATATATTTTAGAATCATATTTTATCATTTTCTGACATTTAATTAATGTAATTCATGAAGAGAAATGAAAAAAGTTAATATTTTCATTTCAGCACAACTGTGAACAGTTTGACTGTAAGAAACCTACATTCAATTTTTTCCCCCATCCTAAACAATAACTACTTTTACTAATAACCTATCATCTCTTGAGAATTTACTATTCATTTCTTGATTTTCAAGCATTTCCCTTTTTTTGTACAAGCCTTGGTTGCCACCATGTATGGTGTAACACACAAAGTGTTTTTGTCCTTTACAAATGGAACAGCTTTGAACACAGCTATAAAAAAAGTTAAAATATGATTTGAAAGAACAAGAATTAGACTATGATGTCATGGTAGAGTAAATATATAGGTTTAAAATTTTTTTATAGTTTTTGAAAGTGTTCTTTTGTTTCTCAATTGTAAAAGTATTTGTGTGTTAAATCATATCTATTAGAAAGCTACAAAAAAATATTCTTCAATGGGAAGATATTAGATAACTTGAGATAAGGTATGCTTATAGAGTTTAGGCAAGGGTTGAATGAGTAACAAAGAAAACTCTGTTACAAGTTTAACAGTAATAAATGTACAAATTTGTCATAATCAGGTACAAATGGCTTACCTAGACACAGAAATATGTACAGTATGAAACAAAAGTCACAAAACTGGAGTTGTTTAAGGCTTAGTACCATCTTGTTGATATTTCATTCTTTGTTTAAAATTGCAGTTTTTACTCTTTAATAGATCCCGTCGAGGTGGATTCCTGTATATGGTGAGGGGACCTCCCAGGGAAGGTTCTCCATTTTCAGTTTACCTCCTCTAGGATCTGAACATCAACCTAAGTGTTTGCCATGTGTGGCAACCCGTGAAGGGAAGAAGAGGATCCTGGTGATTGAGTGGTGTCTGGGACACTGCAACACACCACTTTTGCCTTGAATTCCCGTACACGGGTGGCCTTGGGGTGACACCCTAAGGTCAATTGGCTGGTCCTGTTAGGCTAGGGTCAACTGAGTACCAGTATTGGCCATTCTCAACGAGTGTTGTGGACATTGTGTCTGATGCTCGCGAAACCCTGGCGTTGCTGCAGTGTCCTTGTTTAGCATTGTAGTGCTTCCCCTC